CTAACGTGACACAACCTGAAGAAGAATTAGTTCCCCTAGGAAAAAACAGAGCAACAGTTAGTGAAAAGGCATTTTTGACCATCATAGACAGCCCTGTGAGTTTTTTGGAACCAAAGGCTTACGAGAAGGCAAGGGTGTGCACAGTGCACATTTGTCTGGCAGTGCAGAGCCAGCAAGTTAATTTGACATTTGGTTCTGCACAGTGTGCCAGTAACTTTTTTTGCATAATCTGTTTATTTAAATTCAAAACTATGCTTAGTTTGGCTTATTTTAAAGGTGAATGAAATGCTTATTACAAAGATGCCCTTGATAACATACTGCTCTGTCTGCCTACAAGGAGGAAGAATTACCCACTTGTTTACTGTCTTTTAACTTCCTTATCTAAAATAGCCCTAAGACAATGACAAAGCATGACCTTGAATATGTTATTCAGCATTTCAGGGTTTGGATATCCCCAAAATTTCCTTCAGACTTCAAGAATTGTCATCACCTACCTCCATTCCCTGTTTAAAAATGTTTTTTTTTAATTTTTTTTTAAAGTATTTGTCTTGTGCTTGTGTTGCTGAACATAAACTGCCAAAGATGAGGATTGATTTCAAAACAGGCTTCCCATTTTTCTTCTACAGTGGTGTGACAGGCTGATGAATGCCACACTGGCAATGTTGAATCATTGAGAAGGTAGCTAATAGATTTGCCATGCTCAGAGCAACACGGAATCGTAGAATCACAATTAGGTTGGAAAAGACCTCTGAGATAATGAGTCCAACTCTTGACTGAACACCACCTTGTCAACTAGACCATGGCACTAAGTGCCGCATCCAGTCATTTCTTAAACGTCTCCAGAGACAGTGGCTCCACTACTTCCCTGGGCAGCCCATTCCAATATTTAACACCCCCTTCTGTGAAGCATTCCTCCTGATGTCCAACCGAAACCTCCCCTGGTGCAGCTTGAAGTTATGTCCTCCTGTCCTGTCACTAACTGTGTAGGAGAAGAGGCCTACTCCCACCTGGCTACAACCTCTTTTCAGGTAGTTGTAGAGAGTGATAAGGTTTCCCCTGAGCCTCCTCTTCTCTAGACCAAACAACCCCAGCTCCCACAGCTGCTCCTCGCATGAATAGAACGGTATAGAGAGTGAGTTGCTGATGCTTCTGGAGATGGTATATAACATGTCATTTAATTTTTTTGAAATATGCAACATTACCAGCTCAGTTCTGGATCAGAAACACTGTTTGAATTATTTTGTAAAAGTTTTGAAACTTCTTCATAAACTAGTGTGGATTGTGAGGCTCAAAGGTTGACCCTGTAATAGGAAAAATACTTTCTCTGTTGGTTTTTCAGGCTATTTAAAGTAAAACTTTCAACCTGTGGTATCTTGATGCACACGAACATCCAATGCAAAAATTATATGTGTGATAAACACTGTGTATTGTTATTGGTCATTTACCTTGAAAATAGTTACGGGGGTTTCTTTCATCCTTCTTGTCAAGTTTTTTTTTAATCTTTTTTTCTTCATCCTCAAGCTGGTGAAAAGTTCAGTCTGGGAGTAAGGAGAAAAAAATCTAGACTTCTAAATGTAAGAAATTCTTTTTATATATATCCTTTATGTGTATTTTAAAAAGCAAACAGGTGTTTTACTCACTGTCACCTTTCACCATGAGGAAACTGGTGTCCAAGTACCCAAAATGTGCTGTTCTGCCTCTCTGTGTGGGCTGTGCTAAGACTAGGCAAATGGTGTGTCAAGGTGAGACTGGCTCTCACCACTGACAAGGCTGCCCAGCTTCACAAACCAGTCAATGGGTTGCTGTAATGTCACTTCCAAGATTGACTACTATTGCATAAAAAAAAAAGAGAGAAAGACTACCAGCAAGTGCCTTCCCTGCTGTAGTGCAGTATCTGCTTTCCTGTACTTAAGCAGCATTAGTTGAATATCTCCTGGTCAGTCCATCTGCCTTCTTTCCATAGGGTGAATTTTGACCTAAGGCAAGTCAGGGTGAATTGAGGAAGTAAAAGCAGTCCCTTCCTAGTCTGTTGCGTCTCTTCGACTTTTATGATGAGATTGTAATATTGCCATTTCTTCTTCTCTGACTTAGAGAGTCAGAAGTGCAGTTTCTCATTTAAACAAAATAATAACACAACTCCAAAGTGACAGAAAACCCCAAAGCTGACCCAGGAAGCAATTCGGTTGATTTTAAAGAAATTTTTTAAGCATAAAAGACCTGTCTGGGAGGTCCAAATGGTCATGTGAAAGACTAGGAATTGCAGGGTAATCTAGGCTGAAAAGGACCTCTGAAGGTAGTCTTGTCCAGCCCTCTGCTCACAGCAGGCCCCCACAACTTGAGTCTCAGGGCCATACTCACAGGAGTTTTGGCTCTATGCATGGAAGGAGATTACACAACCTTTGTGACAGCCTGTTCTGGTGCTCAGCCACTTAGTTGTTTAAAAAACAAACATTGCTTAACTTTTTTCACCTGCATTGCAACAAGTTTGTTGCCTTTAGTCTTAATCGCTGTGCACTTTCCAGAAAATTCTGTCCTTCTCTTCTCTGTGTGCCCAGTGGACAGCTGCAACCAGCAGTAAGATCTCTGCTGAGTCTCCTTCAGGTTGAAATGTAGTTGACAGGGAAGGACCTCTTTGGGCCTCTTCTCTTTTCATGCCTATTTCCTTTAATGACTGAGCTGTGGGTAGCTTTAGCCACTTGACTGTTTGTGACAGCCTCTTGCCTAGACAGTGGACACCCTGGTCCATGTGCATCCTGCTGCAAGATAGCAGCCTGGCAGCAGGGATCGCATGTTCCTGAACTGTGATGCTCAGTGCAAAGCTCATCCAGTTTGGTGTTTTATCAGCAGGATGTGTATGCAAATTCCCTGTGGCTGTGTTACTGGGCCATGGGACTCTGGGAGTTAAAGAATGTTTAGCTTCAAATGCTAAATATCAATTATGGATATAATTGGCACATAACTGGTATATTTTATTGTGGAGGAAGTGTAAAAGTGGATTATATCCAGTTGTATAGTGCAATCACCTCCTGCTCTCCAGTGCCTCTTACTAATACAATAGCAATGGGGTTTCCCATCTGCTTTTGCAATGAATTCACTAAGGACAGTCTCTGAGCCTAAGAAGCTATTACATCTATCAGTGTTTTCCTTTCTATTCTCAGCTTAGTAGCAATATAGATTTGGCTTTGTGCCACTGCTACGTATAAGCTCATCTGTACAGCTTTCATTCTGCCTTCTGATTTACTGCAGGATTTCTGACTGATGTTGGTTAGATCAGTTTTTAACACAGACAGTCTTGCTGATGTATTCTATGAGCCTAGCTCTTTCTAGCTGTGAGTTGGGGGAGAGCAGCAGAAAGCTTAGACTGCTTGCTTGGCTGGGTTGGTAATGATGTCTGTAACCATAACTCATAAAGCAAGTGGCTTGGAGGTGACTGGCCATAACCTGTCACTTTGCAGAGCTGTGTTTCTGCCACATCTGTCATGTGTAGCTGTAAAATGCTCCAGTGGTGTTAGGAGAATGCTTGTATAAAACTCTATATTTAAACTGTCAGCATCTGAAATTTCAGTGAGTAGATTTCTCTTGCTAAGGGGGTTTCTTCCCCTGTATTCTCTTTGAGTGTGTACTTCTCTTTTCTAAATAAAACTTAATCTTCTCGTTACTTTGGAATGATCTTGTTGCTGCTATGTCGTCTTGATCACAGAGAACAAGGGCTGGAGGTGAACTGCTCACTAGTGTCACAGCTGCTACCTGCTGTAGCTTCGCTTGCATTAAAACTGTTTTTTCACCATGAACCTGAAGAGAACGAGGTGTGTTCTTTTGGTTGGCTTTTTGGGGTACAGTTTGGTCACGCTTTACACTATGTCATAATATCTGCTTGGGGTTTATGTGGTGTGTGGTAGAATTGCCTTCGTTTTGCCTCATTTATTCTCTGGTTATTACCTGTCGGCTTCATTTACTACCCAGGGAAACAGATCTATGGATTCAGAGTGAGGGTCACAAAGAGCAAAAGCAGCATTGATTACTGATTTGTCAACAAAAGCATCAGACATTCATCTTCATCTTGTAGTTGTCTGGAAAAAGGATTAAATTGCAGATCACCCTAAGGCAACAGGGGAGCATTTAGTAAGTGGGTATCAATTTGTTTACTTGCCAGATCAAAACCACTCTGATTGTTCTTATATGTTCTCTTTGCAGAACTGGAGTCTTGTTCTTTTCTTAGAACATTGTAAAAGGAACAATTAAAACTTGGTGCTTCTCTAGCCTCCTAGCACGGCCCTTCCATTAGGTTACAAATTATTTTTGTCACTGTGTTTGATGTATCCATTATTGATGTCATTTTCTGGTTGGATTTATCTCAGCTGGCTACAGAATCCTGGATCTGTTATGATTGCTCATTTATACCTTATTTTTGCTTATGTGAAAAGTGGAAAATGATTGCAAATGGCTTCTTCGTGCATGTCATCCGACTTTTAGTTTCAGAGTTTGCGGACTACACAGGAGATTGTGCAAGAAGCATTGTTTACTGGCTTAGAATTGTCAGGCTAAAAAGCTGCATCCTTGCTGCAGCTGTGAAATAATAGGGCAAACATCACCATTTCATCTCAGTTACTGTCACGTGTTTACAGAACTCATTGTTTTCTGGCAGTGGTGTGTATGCTCGGTTCTGTCCTAAAGCAGGTGATATGTATTTGAGGTGTCCTAGTGTTTAGCCTCTCATGCAACTACAGGTTTACACTTTGAGGGTGAGGAAGACAAAACTTGAAATGGAGCCTTTTGTTTGTCCCTTCTGGCAGATACCAGATTTTATAAATTCATTGATAGTTTTGATGTGCTCAGATCCTCTCTTCCTCTGCAGGAAACCAGTAGTCACAATTCACTGCAACATGTTTATGATGCATGTACGTACTAAGGCTCATGCATTATACCTTGGATGTTATTTGAAACCAGGAAAGGTACAGAAAGTAGTGAATCAGCCTAATGGATTTTTAACTCTCTTCCAGGACTCATAGTTGGGGTGATCTTGAGGTACGGGACTCCCTCCAGCAGTGGCCATGACAAGCCGTTCAGCTGCTCGCAGGAGGACAGGCCGTTCACAACCCTGCTGGTCAACGTCAGCGGGAAGTTCTTTGAGTACACACTCAAAGGGGAAATAAGCCCTGGGAAGATCCACAACGTGGAGCAAAATGACATGTTGAGAAAGGTGAGGCTACACCATTTCTTGTGCTTGGCTGAGTGTTTCTCCTTCATCTTCCTTTCTCCATCCCATTGGATTGTTGGCTAGTGTCAAGTGTCAGTATTGCTGATGGTAACGGTGCTTCAACGCCTAATTCAAGAGCACCTTCTGTATTATATTGCTGCTGGCAAACTGTGCTCCATTGCATGTATGTAGTGCTTTCCTAAAGCCCTTGGTTTGAAGACTTAATGTATGTTTCTAACATTTATAGAATTCACAAAGACCAGCTGAACAAAAAAAGCCTGATGCTGCCTCGTATAAACACAATATAAGGAAAATGAAAATTAGTGAAAACTGATTGGTTCTTATTGTTCTTTTTCCTAGGGTTTTAAAATCTGTTTATTGTCAGGAAATAATAACTGCTTTTATCCCTATAATCTACCAAATGAGGCAGTCTGGTGTTGGAAGTGAAATTCACCTATCAACTGTTATTCAGATGTCCTATTTGGCTTTTTATTCAGTGTCAAGAATTAAGCATCTTTTATATATATAAAAGTTAGACTTTGAAGTATGGGATTGAGACTTTAAGGTTTATAATCTAAAAATACTTTGTTCTGCTAACTATGAAGAAAGTTTAGTTGTCTGTTTGTACGTACCTGTCTGCTATGGATATTTAAATTAGCTGGAATGAATCCTATTCTGGCAGCATACACTTGTTTTGTTTGTCTTCTAACCTGTGCTTAGGCAGAGGGTGAAGAGAATTAAGTTAGTTTCATGTGTGTGGGTCTTGTTTGGATTTTAAATGTTGAGTTTTTTCCTAAGTGTAGTGTAGACTTTCATGGATATCTGGAACTTCTACTGAAATACAAGCAAGTGATGAATGATCCAAATTCCTGAAAACCAGTCTTGTATCTGACTTGTTTGGCTTAAAATAACTGTACAGTGGTTCAACTTTCAAAAAAAACATAAGCTAAAAAAAAAATTTAGTTTGCACATGAAAATCATGTGTTGCAATAAGAGAGATCTTCTCCAGCATCATTTCTACTAGAAATGTTTAATTTAAAAAAGAGGACTGTGTTTGGGATTGCTGCCAGATTATCGTTGAGGATGGATGTAATGGATGTTTTTCCTAGATGCTGTTTACCAACAAGAGCTGCAGCTTTTGCTGCTGTATATATATAGAGATGACCAGTGTTTTAGAGAGTCAACTTATCTATTTCAACGACCAAAAATAGTAATTGTGAGAAAGTGAAAGAGGAAAAAGACCTAATGATTTGTGTACGTCTGTTTCTAATTGAAATTTCATATTTTATTTTGTAGGTAACATTTGACCCAGAAGTTTTTTTCAACATTCTGTTGCCTCCGATTATTTTTCATGCTGGTTATAGCCTAAAGAAAGTAAGTGTAATAATTTCTGTGGAGAATGGACTTTTTTTTTTTTTAATGTGAGATTAACGATATTTTCAGGATTGCAGTCTCTATTTCAAGCATTTATTTTTTTTTTAGGGCAGGAAGAAAAAAATTTTTTCCTCCGTAGATGATTAGGCCATATTGTTTTAAGAGAAAATACATGTATTTTTTAGTATAAATGTGTTAAATGTCTATTTAATCTTGCTGATCTGTTTTCCTTTGAATTTAGCCAGAGATTAATGTCAGTTTCATTTACAGTAAAAGATATTCTGCTATGAATGGTTTTGATCCTTCTCAAATATCCAAAATGCAGTAAATTATGCTGAAAAGTGGACCTAACCCTGAATTCTGGTGGGGATGTGCCAGACACTGAATGACAGAAGGGCCCAGATTCTGATCTTGCTTGAAGATACCACAAATCTGTGCTGGTTTTTACAGCTAACTCTTACATCTCTTAAGAAAAAATCTGTGTGGAAAGCTTCTGTCAATAAGTTACATGTAGGATTTAATACATGGTTCAGAGCTAGTTTATTCCATTTATTGAAGTTAGATAGAATGTACATTGCAGTAATTGAAATGTTTCTGTGTATGCAAGTGAAGTAGTGTACTATATGTTTTTTAACAGGTGCTATAATTTTTTTAAAGTGGGTATATAAACCTCTTTTCCTATGCAGAGGCACTTTTTCAGGAATTTGGGGTCCATTTTGGCTTACGCCTTTTTAGGAACAGCAGTCTCTTGTTTTATTATTGGGTAAGTGAACTCTGATATCAGTTCCTTTCTATGCTAAAGTTTAAGTTGATAAAGTGCTCTCTCTTTCTCTCTCTGCATGCATAGGTATATTTTATGTCTATATGTACACACACATTTAGTTTAAGATAGCTAGTCACATTGGTTTGCCTGCATACAATATCTTCTGGAAGATATTAAGATAATATTACTGTGTCTTGTATATGGATATTCTGAAATACAGAAATCCTGAATTGCATTGGTGACCTTGGTTTGTCTTTCCAAGAATTTCACTAGAGAAATAATTTGAAGGCTATTCTTAGCTGAGAGCTTTTGGTCTATGTACTGTGTTGGGAAAAACAATACTGAAGGGAATTTTGAGCAGGGAAATGTTCCCTTTGGTGGCAAATGGAAGCATCCTGTAGACTCTCTGTGCTAGTTGTGTGAACAGATTTCATGCTTTGTTTACTGGTTTTAAATAATATCTTCTGGATACTGTATTGCTTGACTCGGTTCATAGGGTAAAGAGGAAAATGCATGTTGAGAGCTTAGCATTACACTGTGGCAGTGTCCCACAGAGCTGTAGCATAACCAAATCTGCTTGATATACTGTTGTTGCTTGTGCTTTTCCTTTGCCTGTCTGAAATGCACCAACTTGTTTGACTTGGACCGTTTTATCCTCTTTCTCTTCAGGAATCTTATGTATGGGGTTGTGAAACTAATGAAGTTGGTGGGTCAGCTCTCTGATAAATTCTACTATACAGACTGCCTCCTCTTTGGAGCGATAATATCTGCCACTGATCCAGGTAGCTTGATGAACATTTTTTAATAACCTTCCAAAATAACCCTATTGCTAGGATTTTTGGCTACATATTAACAGGACTTTAATTTCAGTTATGTCATATTAATATCTCTGAGCCTCTTCTCTGAAATGCATGCAAATTCTAAGTGTTTTAAAAGCTGTTCTCTGTTGATTTGGTGCTGAACTGGCATAACACCATGTTTTATTTGGAGAAAAATGTAACTCTCCTGTTCAAATACTTTAAATAATCTTTCCCCCCCACCCTAGTAGGTTTTTTCGCAGGTTTTCTTGTGGGGTTTTGGGGAGGGCGAGGGTTGGGGCTTTTTTTGTTTGTTTGCTGTTGTTTTGGGAGGGGATGTATAGTGTGCATCAAGTTTTAGACTGCAAATAGATGAAATTATTACATGTCTGGATAGAAGGACTTCCTTCTTCAGCTCTGTTGCTTGGGGCTAGGTAATTTAAGAACAATATTTGAGGCTTTTAGACTCTTTACGTGGGAGATTTTTCTTCTCTTTCAAATGAACTTCATGTTTTACAAGTTTAAGCAGAAAAACGCTCTTCTGGCCAAGTAATTTGAGCTATTGCCCAAATAGTGTGGTCATTCTTCAGGGTCCAGCAGGCTCACACAGATGACTGGTCAGTTTGTAGGGCTGGTGTATGTCAGGGGCCAGGGTAGGGAGTGGTAAAGTATGAAGCTTGACATTTAAAACAGCTTATTTGAGGTGCTCAGTGGTAATTAGTGTGAAAATGGGAAGTAACTCCTGTGACTGAGCTGAGCTCTGAACAGCTGGTGGTTGCACACAATTTATGCAAAAAATCACTATGTGATTTTTGAAGCTTGTATATGGGAACATCTTCAAGATCATGGTCTTTCATCTCAGACTGAATTTTCTTGAAAGGATGGTTACAAATATTTAGCAGTCTTGCCCTTTTCAAATCCTGTGCAAATGCACGCTCCTATGGCATAGTGTATACCTTGGGGTACACTTAGGATTATTAGCACTATTTTACTATGGCTGAAATAATAAACCTATGTCAACAATCAATGGAGTTTTTGAAAGTAACAAGAGCTGCACAACATTTTGTTGATTATCTTATATGTGGCATGTTCTAAAATAATACCAGGGCTTTGGTAGAAGTGCTTTGTCTGCCCTATGCCCGTTAATCATGGGGGCCTTCCTATAAACACTGTGCAGATGGGAGGACAACAGAGCCACCTCCTAACAGAGCTGCCCTAAGACTCATGGTGAAATTGCTTACCCATAGATAAACATGACTAGTCTGTTTCCCAGTTTAATTTTGATTCTGTACTTCAATTCCTGCATTTTGTTGCTTATAGACAAACTGGAAAGGCTGCTCTGTCCACTCACGCTGTCGTTCCTCAAGTCAGCCAGTGTTGTTTTTCTCCTTTCTTTCTGTAGTTACCGTGCTAGCAATATTTAATGAGCTGCATGCTGATGTTGATCTCTATGCCCTTCTGTTTGGGGAGAGCGTGTTGAATGACGCTGTTGCCATTGTATTATCTTCGTAAGTAACTCCGTGAATTTCTACTCTGAAATTACTTAGTTGCTTTTGGTATTTGTCTAAAATAAATGCTTTTTCTGAGAAATGTCATTTTAAATTTAAATGGATTGTCTTGAACTGAATTAATAACTATTGCAAATGTTTTCCAAGATCCCTAATGCATACGTACATGCCTTCAGTATGGGATTGTCTCTGTTGCTCAGGTGGTGTTCTTACAGAATTAAACTTTTCTGATGCCACTTTTAAGTTCTCATTATGTTACTCTCTTTCTAGATCTATAGTTGCCTACCAGCCAACAGGTGAAAATACTCATGCTTTTGATGCAGCAGCATTTTTCAAGTCCGTTGGTGTTTTCCTGGGAATATTCAGTGGTTCTTTCATGATGGGAGCAGTGACAGGGGTTGTGACAGCTCTGATATCCTTTTTAACATTTAGCTCTTCTAGCTGATATGGCATATGTGGGTATTATCAGGGTTTTTCTGTTTACAGTTATAGCAAAATCGACTCTAGCTTGTTTTATCCTGAGTGTGAAGATGTGATCAGTATTCATGTGACTTTTTTTCTATGGAAAGACATTACAGGTACCCATAGAAATCAACTTTTTCCAGTATAACAGTGGCCACGCTAGAAGATTTAGTGATGTTGCTGCACACTGGAAGCTAAAGGGAGGCCTTAAACAGGCATGTCTGTCTAGTCCATGTTTAGTTTCTTTTTATGAAATTAAATAAACTAGTTTTTCTTATTAGGCTTGAGTAACATATAATAACTGGTCCTTGATTCTGTCTTCAGCAAAATCTGTAATAGTCATTTCTGACCCCACAGCATTATATGAGTCCTGCATTTAAACTTTCTGCCAGAAATCTGATGTCATATGCCCTGGATAAGATTGTATCTACATGAGAGTAAACTTCGTAACATGATGCGTTTTGCATGATCTGTTCTGTTCTCTTGAAGCTTACTGCTGCTGTTTGGTTAGATCTCTGAGGTGCTCAGCAAGCAATTTATGTGGGTTTTGTTTTAGGCTCAGGCAGTAGATCTTCAGCCTGGCCTCCTCCAGAAATCATGACTCTTCTTCAGGAAAAAAATTAAGGGTCTTTGCTTTCAGACTGGTCAATATAACTGTCTCTATACGTATCCCAGACTGCTTTGATCTGCCTAGACTTCTGAACACTGACTTGAAAGGGCTAAAATGTGATGTTTTAACCAATAATCATGACCCTGTGACTTTTCATATTAAGCAATAATGTCTCAACTGTATTTTGTTATATACACACTGTGTAGATTTGTCTGACATCTGCATAATGGAATCCCTTTAAGTATAAAGGGGAAGCTGTGCTGTTGATGCTTTCATGATTCTTCATCTGGCTTTTAGGCAACCAGCTATTCATAGTTCTAGCTGCTCAAATGCAGTTGCTGTAGTTTTTGGCTTGCTGACTGAAATGCATTCGGATCTACTTTGCAAAATCATGCTTCTGAAGCAGCAATTGGTCCTTGCTGTTTCTAATGCTTGTGCTCAGGAGGTTGATGTGAGGCTGTGAGAGGGGAGGCTGTTCAGAACAAAGCCTCTGTGGTAGCATTTTGTGTGTTGTGTGGTTTGTTTGTTTGTTTGTTTTTCCATTTTCCAATTTTTGATGGGTTTTTGTTTATTTGTTTGTTTTGTTTGTGTTTTTGGGGGGAGTGGGTTGCTTAAAATTATACGACTTCATGTATTTATTTTCTTTCGGAAACGTCCTTAATGTCATACAATACTGTAGAAGCAAACTGTAAATTTGCATTTTGTGCTTCATAGCTGATTAGAACCCTAAATTATGAATAACAGTCAATAGACTGTTATTCCCATAACTGTGAAGTACCTGTAACTATACTTCCCCGAGTAAGGGTTTTCATGCAGTCATGCATTGTCCTTCGAAAATAGACAAAACACTTATTTTCCAAATGATGCAGATAATATACAAGCACTTGTTCTGGCTTTCAGCAAGCTGTCTGTGGTTACTTTTAAAACAGTTTAAGTATTGTACCATTTTTTTTTTAATTGCAGAATCTGCCTATTTGAAAAGAAGTGAAACAGAAGGCTGTGTCTAAGGAATAAAGAAAAAAGATAAGAAAAAAGGAATAATAATTTACTTTCAAATTAACACTTCAATTTGGTCAATTATATAAAATAATAAAATATTTTATTTTCTTGCCTTTCCTCCAAAATGATGAGTACAGGTTTTAATTCCAGATTTAATGGAATGTTTTGGTATTGTTGTTTACAATAACAGCAAGGGGAATAAACAGTTTGATTTACAAAGCTGCCAGAAAAGACTGCAAATGAGAAATTAGTTCTGACAAGGGCCCATGCCAAACTTTAGTGGAAACAAGGTTCAACCTCTTCCTCTCCCATGGAGTGACTGTGGCTATTGAGTTTCCTTAAGCATCCATGAATACCTCTTGACCCAGGCACTGGGATTATCTGAGCATTCTAAATGTTGCTGTGGTGGATGTTGCTGCTTCAGAAGCATGATCTTAGAAAATGAGTCTGTTTCAGGAGAGTGGGGGGGGGGCAGAAATTCAGCTGAGTTCAAAACTTTTAGAGGTGGCTTCTGTGGAGAGTTAACAGCTGTTTAAAAAGCTGAGTTTTACATTTGATGTAATGTCAACTGCCATGGAGAATACTTTTTCTTTAATGATGCTTTGGGCTTTTGGTTGGAGGGCAAACTTCTGACAAAGTAAGTTCACAGCTGAAGATGCGTCTGGAGTGTATGTTTGCCCTTCTCCAGGAGTGCAGAGAATGTCAGTAAGAAGTAGGTGTGTGTGGAGAGTCGATGTTTGTCCTCAGAACTGCTTCATCCTAACCAGGTTCCCATTGAAACGCTGCCAGCTGTGTTATGCATGGAGAGCATTGGTGTATAATGGTGCAGCCTTGATGAGTCCATTGAGGTACTGATTGCCTTTATATGAGCAGGGGAGAGTGCTACCACCTTCCTGTTTCAATTGCTTTTGCTGTCCTCCCACTTAGATTTCAGAGAAGATTATGCTACTTGTCAGCTTTCAGATAAGGGTTGTGCATAGCTGTCTGCAAGTCAGATACAGTGTGCTGTTCCTTGTTTACCTGCTGCAGGGTTAGTGCTGAGGAAAAAAACACCAAAAATAATTCTATAAATACGTGAAAAAAAATTTTGTAGTATGTGAAGAGCTAAATTTAACACTACTGAGATCTGTTCTACTTCTTCAGTATCTGTCTGAATTGTTAATTCAGTGTGTGTTTTGATGTTGCTCAAGTTTCGCTCTCTTCTGCAAGATGAACTTTTTTCTTTCCATTGAAAGATCGAGCTTCTCTGAGCTGGCTTTTCCTCTAAAACACATCAGCATAAGGAGAGATAATACATTTTGTAGGCAGTATTTTTGTTTTGCCTCAAAAGTACTGAAGTAGCCGTGCTTGCTGGAAAAGACTTGTTAACAAATCTGAGCAGAAAAATTCTCATAAATCTACTTCATCTTAGGGTTGCTGTAGTCAAGAACAGCCCCGTGAATTAAATTCTGAATTTATTTTATGCTTTATTTAGAGATGACAGGGGGGCTATTTATTAGGCTTTGCAGGGGGAACCAAACATCATTCCCTCACCAATCCCCCGAAAAACCAAGACACACACAGTCTAAAAGGAACACCAGGTATATATCCCTTCCTTGCTAGCACTTCAAAGGGGAACATGGAGTAAGATAATATTGCCTTTAAGAGGTGGAGCCACACCTTATGCCATGGATATGCAGCAAAAATATCCAGAACTAATTGCTGCAAGGGGATACCTTGATTCTGAAGTTGCCTTGATGTGTTGGAATTCATGTTTTTCAGCATTAAAGGAGGGGGGATGTCCAACTAGCATTGGTTGTTAGCACATAAAAGTGTTTTCCATAAGTACTGGGTAGAGAGAAGCCAAAGTATTTTTTTGATCCCTTAACAAATGACTTAACGTAACGAAGTTTACCAAGTTGCACTGCTTCCCCCTGCTGGAAACGGCACTCTTCTTCTTGATGTCCTGGAGCACTTTCTTGCTTGCAGAAGCTTGTGGATTTACTGGTGAGTTGGGATTCAAGCACACGGAGACAGAAGTACTGTCCATCTCAGCAGCCATTCTTTTGCTTTCTCATTAAAACTTTTCAATGAGAAAAATGCTGTTTGTGCTTAAGGCTTTTTTTTTTTTTTTACTTTCTGTTCAATGTCGTTGAAGGTGCAGCTCACTGTAACAAAGGCTTTTAAGAGCAATTGTTTGGTTCAAACACCACCTCCCTAACCTGGAATCTCACTCACATGAAAATAAGGTTCATAAAATCTCAAGGTTAAGGATGATGTATAAATTTAATGGAACTTGGGAAGAGAAAATGTGATGAACTCCCAGTAAACAGGCTGATTTTCACATGTGACTCTGTTCACAGGTGTGGTGGCTGTCCTCTTCTGCGGAATTACCCAGGCACATTATACATACAATAACTTGTCAGTTGAATCAAGAAGTCGCACTAAGCAGGCAAGGATGTCTTTTACCTTTTGTACAGTGTATTGCTGTAATAGTCCATGTACTATTGCTTTTACAGCATCTTTTTTTACTTGACCTTTAACACGTGACTCTTTTCTCCCTAGCTCTTCGAGGTATTGCACTTCCTGGCTGAGAACTTCATATTTTCTTACATGGGTTTAGCACTGTTTACTTTCCAGAAACACATATTCAGCCCAGTTTTCATTATTGGAGCTTTTGTATCCTTTTTCACTTTGTGTGAGGTTTCTCTATTGTCTTATGTGCTTGAAAACTTGTGATGTCTGTTGGCTTTACCAAACAGAGAATGATGGCTGGCCTGAGTTTTCCTGATGTCTTGCAGAAACAATAATTTTGAGAACAATCTTTGGTTATGCCTTACATCAAAGCCCTAAGGCCTCTGTACCACACAGTTGTTGTTCTGTACCTGAGTAGTGTTAGAAGTCATAAAATTTCACTAGATAAATAAATTAATATGCTTTACTGTGTCATTTGGTCATTGACAGCCAACACTGCTTGTGTTGCTTTTGTATTTCAACTTGGGAGGCCTAGAAAAGGATGCATTTTTCTCTTCACTTCCAAGGGTCCCTTGAGAAAGCAAGCAAACTTCAAGTATATAGAAAGGATTGTGTGTGAATAGATTGTATTTGAGCAACATCCCAGAGGCAGAGATCAGCCTGCTGTAGGAGTAGGGCTATTGGCAATAGAGATAAAACCCAGTGAAAGCGTAGACATCCCATAATCTGGGATACACTTATTTTCTCTCCTCCTTTCTATTGTTTTCTCTCATTGCTATACTGCTTCTCAGGGTTTATCACATTTGTCTTTTTTTTCCTTTGCCCATTTACTTTTTTCTGAAATAGTAATAAATTTTCTCCTGTGTCACCTCGCGTCCATTTTTCTGACCTAAAAAAATGCTCCAGAGCCCTACATTGAATAAGGACATGAACAGAATAGTTGTGTCTGGTGTACTAAGCATTGCTATTTTTCACCTTTGGTGTGGCCTTCCATGTTCTCTCAGGTTATGCTATCTGTCTTGGTTTTGTTTTCAGTATTTGTTACTTTCTTTTCCTACCCGCTTATCTTTTATTATGTTTTCCACATCTTTTTCTACCACTGCATTTAACCTCTGTTGCCTCTTGAGTGATTTTCTACCTTTGTGAGGAGGGCAGCTCTCCATTTAAAAACTTGGCTATATTAGCTAAAATATGTATTCTGTGCAATGGGTTCTGTATTCACGTAACTGGTGAAAGTCTGCTTTAGATATGTAGATATAACAAGAACACTTGCTATCATGATCTAAACCTCTCACAAAACCAAAAGCTTCAGGTTAAAGCCAGGTACCCAAGAGTGCATGCCTCAGGAAAAAGAAATCCTTAACCCTCAGCTGTGAACAGATTGCAATCTTTTTGGGAAGAGCTGCACACATCTACCCTCTCTCCTTTTTGTTGAATTTGGGCAGAAGGCATAAGATCAGCTGGAGCTTTCAGCACATGATGATGTTCTCAGGTAAGAGCTTGGTAAAATGCTTGGTAATGGAAAAAGATTTATTTTTAACTCACAAGAAATTGATAGTGCTACCTTCTCCTTTTATAACCCACTTTCATTCATCCTAAATGGAAGGCTTACTGATTGTTGCAGCATGCCATCATGTGTCTTTCAACCTTTACAGAAAGTGTATCATGTCTGGCATGAGCGACATCTTGAAATGCTTTTTGCTTGTGGCAAACAGTACCTCATGTTGGGAATAGAGCATTTTCATTTGAAGTGCATCTGAGGGGATGGGGGAGCTGGGATGTATCTCTTCTAGAAGGTTATTTCTGGCTGAGATGAAATGTTGAGCAGAAACAGACACTTGCTGAGAAAACAGAAGTGTATTTATGGATGCCCTCTCCCACTTAGTTGGAGAAAGAAAGGTATTTGACTTAAACTCCCTTACAATTTCCGTCACACGGGCAACTGTTCAAGTTTATCATCTAGAGCAAATTATGGAGTGTGTGTCTAAACATGTTCATCCTCAAAAAGTTCCAGAGAATCCTCTGCATACAAGAGGGAGTAAAGAGGACAAAGCCAGGCTATTTCCAGTGGTGCCCAGTGATAGGACAGAGGTAATGGGCACAAACTCTGTGCCCATATGGCATAGAGATTCCCTCTGAACATCAGGAAACACCTTTTACTATGTCCAAGCATTGGCACAGGTTGCCGAGCCAGGTTGTAGCATCTCCATCCATGGAGAGATTCAAAAGACATCTAGATGTGGTCCTGTGCAACTTACTGCAGGTTGAGCAGGGGTTGCTTGACCAGGGGAGGTGGACCAGATGATCTCTAGAGGTTCCTTCCAACCATAACCATTCCATGATTTCCCTACCTAAGAAGTCTGCACATGGCCAAATGCCATGGCTTGTTCTTGCTAGTGAAGTTTCCCCTGGGATGCATGGAAGAGGGGGAACATGTAGTCTGTCTGTGAACATCTTATTAACTAGAATATTTTTCCAGTGATAAAAATTTCATATCAAGAATTCACTATTCAATTATGAATTCAACTGGGAAATTGTGCATTTTTATCTGTATTCAGGATGCTGCTTGACTTCCACAATATATTTTGCTGTTGTCCACAACTTGTTTGTTTCTCCGTTCCTTTCCAGTGGTTTCTGGGAATATTTACACATTTTCTTAGCTCTTGTGGATTCTCTAAGTTACAGAAAACCGGGAGGGCAAATTATGCTGTAAATCATGCCAGGGCATAATTTATCAGGGAATCTGAGGAAATCAAAACCTGCTGGAGCCCAGTGCTTTCTGTCTGTCACTTTATGCTTGTGTGGCAGGGATAGAGCAAGGGAAGTTGCTGCGTTACCAACAAGCACAATTGCACTTCTAAGCTCTGTTATTTCATTTTTTTCCGATAGGTCTCAGGGGAGCCATGGCATTTGCTCTGGCTATACGAGATACTGCTACCTACTCACATCAAATGATGTTCTCAACAACTCTCCTCATCGTCTTTTTCACTGTGTGGATTGTCGGTGGAGGTACAACTCCTATGCTGTCATGGCTGAACATCAGGTTGGTATGCAACTGTGTGCTGGGGAGACTTGGGTTATCTAGAGGCAGCTGTGTTAATTTGGCATAGTTCTGCAGAACTTGTTTGATGCTTGCTAGAGGTGTTTGGAACATGATATTTTAGATATATCTATAAATATCTAGGTACATATATATGTGTAGGTATTTAGAGCGTGATATTTTATGGAGGAAGGTGATTGTGCAGGGTGGTGAAGAAAATGTACTGATGCTGCTGGGATTCAGCCTAAAGCCTGATGTATTGAGTGGTTATCTAGGTCCTTGTCAGCCCATGGAATAGTGTTGCCTGATAAAGCAGCCCTATATTGGAAAGAAAAAATTAATCTAGTCCCATATAAACTTCTCTTCATGTTATACTAAGAGAGTTCCCTGTCTTTTGGTTCTTGGTAATGGCCCTATTATGGTTTTTAAGTTCAACGGAGTCTTTAGTGGATGGTGCTAAACTGAATGTGCTTTAAATACGATCCAAACAAACCTGATGTTATCTAAGCAGCTGGGATAAATAGGATTCTGCTAGTCTTCTGGGAGTGTTTCCTCCTGTTTTGAGGAGATCTGTGAAAAAGGTAAGTTGCACGATTACGGAGGTTTGACTACAAATCCTGGTTATTACTTAGTACCTTGGGGCTGCAAGTACTTTCATGTTGGAGAATATTTATCGACAGATGTGCTAGAGAATCATGAATCAATCATTGTTAAAGACGACATATATTGTAATTCTGAAATTTTTGGCAGTTGGGGAGGCACAGATAAATAGAGTGGAATTAAAATAATATAGGCTGTATAAACCCTTCAGTGCATTTTTTAATATGTAAACTATATGTGTTCTTTAGCACTTGAAAGTTTTCTTTTTCTTGCTTTCTAATTTTGCTAACCAGAATTTGTATAGGATAGGAAAAAACATCCTATGTCAAACCAGTTTCAGTCTTTAGAAGAACTAATCATTCTTAGGGACTGGTTCTGCATTTGGCAAACTTCAGTGAACTGCTTGTGGCAATAGGTAGCAAGTGCTTTCTAGGTCAGAAAAAAAAAAAAAAAAGAACTCCCAGAAATGCTTGTGAACTGTTCTCATAGAAAGTAGTATGCTTCTAGTTGGACACAGACATTTCAGCCATGATTTGCATTATCAGCTCTGACTGACAGCAAACATTGGGAAATCAGCTTTTTTTTTTTTTTGGTGCCAAATTAATCCATATCTGTCCTTTAAATGTGAGTTCCAAATGCTTGGCTAGCACACCAGAAAGAAGCAACACTTTATGTAGTCAGGCTCTCTAGAGGTCACCCAGTGTCAGTGCAGTTGTGTCATTAATGATTGTGAGATATCACATCCTAATGATACTTCTAAGCCCAGCCTGACTGATTTGTTTTCCCACATGAGAGCTGTGTAACGACTTTCTAAAAAGGTACCTGGAATAGGTGTCATGTGCAGCCTTCCATTTGGCACCTCTGACAACAGGAGGCATCTGTCTGATGATGGTATATAAGAAGCAACTGTACTAAGGAAGGAGGGGAGGTGCAGTGTCTGTGTAGCTGTCAGTGTGCACGGACTCTCCAGGGTGAGCGGTATAAGGAGCAGGAGATGAGTTCTGGCCAGCAGTACACAGGTAAGAGTGCTGCTTGTGGTCTGCTTACAGTGCATGAGCAACGTCTGCCAGGATCAGTCTGCAGCCTCTGTGATGGCTGATGTGAGGATATTCCTTGTCTGATCTCCGCTTGAGTTGATTCCAAAGCATTTTCCTAAGCATAGATGCAACCAGGTAAACAAAGCTTACTCTAACAGCCCTCATCATAAGTGCTGGCAGCTTGAGCTGCCAAAAGGCAGTTCGCCAAACCATAGATTTGAGTGGTTAGCTTTAGGTTTGGGGTCTGGTGGGGGTGGGGGTTTTTAGGGGGCTTTTTTTTTGAGATTTAGCTACCCTTGCTAATAAGCAGTAACTTCAATTGTCATTTGTTTGTCATAGTTGACAAAAAATAAATTGTCCTTCCCTTAACAGGGAAGTTAATGACATGTATATAACAAGGGAGCTCTACGCAGAAAGCGTTTTAGAGAACTGCACAGATGTGCCTACAGCTGGCTCGATAGGCACTGCCCTGCCAGTGATGGAGTCTGCACTTTCAGGGGCTTTGTAAAATCAGCTTTGTGCCAGGAGGTGGCGGCCGTGTACAGCTGATCGAGCATTAGAAACTTGGTGCTGGTGAAGTACCCTTTTGTGCTAGAAACCTTTCTGTTGGAAAACAAGAAGTCCTGTCTGACACTGCAAATTTAAAAGAGGGACAAATTAGTTTCCAGCTGAATTTTAGAATTATGCTACTCTTCTCTTTTCCATCCCTTTATACCCAGTGGAAGAGGTAGACAGGAGGAGATGAAGATAAGATGCTCTGCCAGTGCCTCACTCAGCAGCACAGTATGTAGTGCTGGTGCAGTCCTGAGGCTGCACAGGAGGTAACTTGTCCCTGGGATGCTTTCTGAGCCTTGGCACTTGCCCATTAGGTTAGATTGCCAGAAACTGGAAATAAGTAGTGGTCACATACAGAATTATTTAGCAGAAAAGAGATTAAAAGATAAAAGGTGGTTTGCTTCTTAGATAAAGTGAAAGGATGTAGGAACCTAACGTCATTTGTATGTTGAACTTCAATGTCAGGATTTGTGGAGACTCCTAAAAGTCCAGTTCTGGTGTGAAGTTCATACTGGTTGTATTCTGGTTGACTTTGGCCTTTGTGGAATGAAGGACTGAGAGCTAGTCAGCCATTACAAAGTCCTCCTGAAGTAGTTGGCCTGGCTGCAGTGTGGATGTAGATGGAAGACAAGGACCTGCTTTAATGAAGAGTCACTCAAACTCACTGAACCTTTACTCTGGTTTATCTTGCCTAGTCACAGCATGGCAGAGTGACATTACTGTCATGTTGTGGATACTGTTCTGCTTGTCAGTGGGTTTTCTGGGTGGCCCCTTCAAGAGTTCCTGTGGACTGGGATGGGCTGAGCTCCTTCCCTGGGAAAGGCAGGCACATATCTGTTGTACTGGGCAAGTCAGAGGAGCTGAGACAGACATCAAGACCAAAGGGTCTTATTTATGGTTGTGCCTGCTCAATTTAAGTAAACAGTACCAGAGAGCCGACTCTAGCCAAGACTTTCAGCCTGGCTTGATACCACCATGTTCATGGGGAAGCAGCTGCATGCATGCAAGATGTAACACCTACACAAGGATCCAGAATTGCTTTGCTGTGGCTTTGAGGCAGAGGGACATGTTTCTGACCACACCACTAGTTGTGCAGCAATTGGGATGCATGCTCTGTTCTTTACTTTCTGTTTGCCCCTTCTCTCCCATGATATGCAGCGTTAAAAGCAGGTAAGGGGTAGAGAGGCTAACACGAAAATCAAGTTTTATTAAAGTAAAAAGCAGCATAGGGAGGAAATAGGCAAAAACATCCTCTGCCTTCTCTTGCTGTTCTGAATGTCTCAAGTGTTTGGACAAGCCCAGTATACCCAGGGCCCACTGGTCAGGCTTTAATGTACAGCTAAGAAAAGGACCTATGGTTTGCAGCAGAGACTAAACTTCAGTTTTCTGCTTAACTGCTCAGAAAACTGAGGTCATGACAGCAAAATCTTAGTAAAAAACTTAGGGAATCTTCAGATGCTTTTGATTTCTGCCACTTGATGCTGAGCAAATTAAAAATTAACACCAGAAACTGCAATTAAGGTCTTGATGTCATGTTTGAATTTCTTGGCTCTCTATCACTGAGACGTACCCAAGCATTTGGGTGGTAAACAGTTATACTTTCCTAGTAGTAGATTTTTTTTCCTTAGAAACTAAAGCATGATTTGGATATTAAAAATATAGTCTCATCCTTTGAGACCTAAAGGCAGAAACAATTTCCTGACTGAAGCTTTAACAGTTTCAGCAAACTTGAGAGCCCTGTAAACCAAAACCACTGGCAAAATCCCTCTTTTCTAAAAAATAGCTGACTTCTTGTTTCACTCATCTGTCATGGGGGGAAAAGGGAACTCCTAGCATTTGTATTGCAAAACAATGTGGTTTCCATTTTTCATTAGAGGCTAATGACTGCTTTTTTTCATGTTGAATGAAGCAACACATAGATTAATGCCTTCTTCTCCTTCATAATCTGCTGAAAACAAGGAAGTTAGTGTTTATTTTAATTAAATAATTTCAGTTGTACTTAGCAATCTTTTTTCTCAGTCTCAAAGCATTATTCCTTACAATTTAAAATAATTTCGGTATCTTCTTACCATAAAAGCTAAAGTTTGTATAGACAATGTCAACTTAGATATTTTACTGCCTTATGTCTGACTTTGCATGTCCAATATTTCTAAGAGCTTTCTATTTAAAGCTCTTAAATTTAAATTTATTTCTATTTTTTTTCTTTAAAAGAGCAAACTGAAAAAGAAATCTGGAAACACTCTCTCACAGTTACTATGTGAACTACCTAATTATCTGGGATAGTGGTAAAACTGTCAGCTTGGTGGAAGTCTCAGGTTGTACTCTATCTTTCCCAGAGTGGATCAACAATAAAATGTGCATCTCTTAAATACCATGCCTCAGTGTTGGTGCTGTGATCCAGCCTCATGCTATATTCCAGACTGGTGTGGGGGATGTCTGATAGGAAGTTACATCCTCCTGTTTTGCAGCCTGTTTCTATTATTCTATAACTTAGATACTTCAGTGCCTTCTAGCCACTCTCTGCTGTTTTTAAAGGTAGATTCACAGGCACAGGTGTTGTCCCTTGCCCTCTGTTGTGAGCTTTTTCCTTGCCCATCTCTTATTCTGGACTGTTTTTCCAGTCTTCCTGCTTCTTTCCCAATCTCTAGTTTTTCATCATCAATCTTAAATCTCCTTTAATGGCAGTGCAGTGCAGCTTCCAAACCTCCAGCCTCATCCTTCTGAGCCTTTTTGCTTTGTAGGAAAGAGATTGTCTTTTCCTCTGGAAGTCTGGAACTAAGCATGGGAGATGTTTCCTCATCTTTATTCTTGTGGGCTGAAACACAGCAATTCACACCAGAGAAAAAAAATGTGGGGAAGGCCCAAATGCTGTAGGACTTGGGTTAACTGCAAAGCTCTGGCAAGCCTCAGACAGAAGTTTTAGGAGTCATTATCTTGGTTAGATCAAGAAATACCAAGAGACAGTTTCAGGAGTCATTGTCTTGGTTAGGTGAAGTAAACAGATACCCAAAGGCATCCTACAAACAACCTGAAACAACTTTTCTTAATTCCAGGGTTTTTTAGTGATTGGGTTTTATTTTATTTTTTTTTTGACATGGTGATGGGAGTTCTTCCTCAGTCACCTTCTGAAAAACAGCTGAACTCTTTGAAATCAGCTAAAATTTTCTGAAAACACTGCACTTATTACAGACATCTGGAAAAACTTTAGTATACTAACCTGGCAAAGATACAGCAAAGAGAAAGAAGTCGTAGAAGGGAAGTTATTGGGCAGTTTTTAATTTTAGTTTTTGCTGTGCATATGGAGCCATCTCAGAGTTGGCCTTTTGGAGCAGAGTGCTCTGACCTGGAGTGTATGTTGGTATGGGAGAAGAGCTATTGAACCTGGAATCCAAAATAAATCTACTGAAAGTCTGGTATTTGCCTCGACATTCAAGGATTACATGAGTACATGCTCATCGTATCACAAGCTGTAGCCTTAAATATTTGGTTTGTCAAGATGTCAGCCTGCAATCAGGGTGTGCTTTTTGTAAAGTGAGGCCTCTGATCATACAGGCTTTTATTTCACATAAGCAAAGTTCATGATGCATGCTTTCATGGAAAAATGGGGGGAGATGAGACGGAGAGGAAAAGCCCCACAAGCTGATAAGGAACTTGTGTGGAAAATACTAGAACCCAAATATGCTTTCATTTGTACCTAAAGTCCCCCACCCCAATAGAGAAAGGCAAAGCAAGGAGTAAAAACACACTGTGCTATGACTAGAGATTAATTATGTTAAAAGTTGTTAGTTAATTTTTAGTTAAACCGACAGAGTGATTTAGAGCTTATTACCAGCTGGTTTGGACTGCTCTGAGACTAGGTAGTATTGGTGACCCCTCTCATATATGCATAGCTTCCCATACTTTTTCTGATGACCCTTTCTCTTTCAGACCATATGCAGGTCTGAAGTGGTAGGAATTGTCTTAGATGGGATCTGTCTCTGTGCAGCAGCTCAGTTGAGAGCTATTGAATCTAGTTTTCTGGGGGAAGTAGTCTGCCATTGTGTTTTACCATCATGGTGTTTTGCCGTCTGGAATCTGAACCAAGGAAGAATATTATTCGATATGTCAATCATAACTTGCTGCTGTTAATTTTTGTTTTGCCACTTTGTTACTGCTCTGCCATTGTTGTTCAAGTATGTTTTGTCTTATTTGATTGGGTAGTTTTGGGGGTTTTTATGTTGGTTTGCTTTGTTTTGCTAAAGAGCTCTGTAAAGCACACATCTCATGAGCATTTTGTTACTCACATTGCATTCTTGTACTGTACCAGAGTTGGTGACCATGTTCCATCGGTGGAAGAGATGAGTGAAAGCCGCTGGCTGTATTTCAGGTGACACCGTACCTTCCTTGATACCAAAGTAACCTGGTGCTTGGCTTTCTTCATCTTTGTTACACTAAATGTGTGCTCTTTTTCTATACTGTGGCATGCTGCTGCTGCTTCTTTTCTGCAGAGTGCTGTAGATGTTCCTCAGTTATGAGTCTGTTCTCTTATTCTGAGCTGTGAGTGTGGATCACACATTGTCTTTAGTTTAAAAAAATGAAACCACAAATCACCACATACTTTAACTTTGTGTAGGGGTATTTGATGAAGTAAAACTGGCATCTCTGGCCCTGTATTACTTGAAACCTGAGAAATCATGGATGTGACCCTATAGTCCTTAATCACATGGATATTCTTAAGCATTCCATGAGATTATCTCATACAACTTTTCAGGCTGGAAGGGCCTTCATAGATGATTTAGCCCAGCCTGTTTGGGGATGTATTTTAAAAACTGAGGGTTTCACATTGCTTTATAGGAAGATGCTAATAAGAGTGGAGATATCAACCAGAGAAGACTAGGATTCTGGTTTCTTTTTTTTTTTTTTAACTAATACATGGTTAGAGAGATAATTTAAAGTTAGATAAATCTCTAACTGACATCTATAGGAAGATGTGTATTTGTATGTACATGTATGTGTATATATATAAATATATAGAGAATATTTATGTAAAGAAAGCTCTTTGGAATGGGGTAGTGGTAAGTTTCTCATGTATCTTGTCACAGTTGAAGGTTTGCAGCGAACTGCTAAATTTGCCAGAGATGCAGTATGTTAGCTTGTTCCGAGAATCTGAGAACGAATATCTATTACAGTCATTCTTGGCTGTTGCCACAGTAATTACATATGCTAGAATGTAATAGAGCCTAGTATTTTGGTAGCTTGCCATCTGTGTGTTGCAGGGTCTTTCAAAGGTTTCTGAAGTATCAAAAAAATGGTCCTACCCATTTAAAAATGATGTAGTAGAGAACTTCAAATAGTTTTATCGGTGGTCTTTTTTTCTTTTTTTTTTTTTTTTGCTATCCAATTCCATCCATTTAGTTTCCATTTTGTGTGTCAACCCCTTTCTGTCACAGTGTTTAAATTACTGAAGTACATAGGCTTAGCATTTGAGGGATCAAATCCAAGTAACTCTTTCCCTAATGTGTGATGCTGGAGTTGTAGCTGTAGGATAAGGACCAAGAAGGTCAAGTCAGTTAGGGGCAGAAATGTGGTGCTTTAGTATTGGTCATTAGGAGCGAGCTCAAGGCTAGTACCTTTGCTGTTACAGAGCTCTTAAAGCACGAAAAGCCTTTTGTGCCTTAAAAAATATTTTCATTAGGGTGGAGTGAAGAAATATACTGAAAGTAGATTAATTTTTACTGTAGCATATTAATGTCTACAGGTTCCAGTGAATTTCTCAAGACAGAAATAAAGGTGTCTGAATTTTATGTACCAGTAACTATCTGCACTGAAATAATAAGGTATCTATCAGATACCAAAGTGATTCCAATGGGGGACATGGATTTTTCACCAGTTTTGAGATGTATATGCGTTGTTACAACTAAAAGACTGCTTATATTCTTCATCTGAAATCTTTTTAAGAGTTACTTGTTTGAATTTCTATTTTACACCCTCGGGGAATCCACACAGGACTGCTGTAAAGGGCTTTCAGAGGCGGTGGGGGGAAATGAAGATGCTTGCTGGCACCTGCACTACCTTGGCCTTGGCAGTCCCACAGCTGAGGTGCCCTTCAGTCCCCATCACACAGATTAGGTCTCTTCTATAAGTTTTCAACGAGCACTTCCTCACCTGCCTTTCTGCTATGGGGTTGGAGCAAAACACCATGGCCATTGGCAAGGCTACCCTCTCTGTGCCCTTAATCTTTGGGAGGAGATTGTGTAAATCCATCCATTAATAGTTTTCCTTAATTTATAACACTAGTTAAATAAATTATAAGTGATATTAGCCTTTACAGCACATTTAAATTACAGGAAGCTTTTTAAATGTTCCTTAGGATGAGAGACGGATTTTTTCTTTTAATCACCAGAAAAAAATCAATGTTGAAGACATATTTGCATCACTTTTACACTCATACTTTTAATTATGGAAGTAGTTAAGTAAGGATGAAGTAACTAAATGTTTTCTGTGCTTCACTGTAAAGGAGGTTGGGAGAGACTGGACTTGATTTTGGTATTGTTTTGCTTTAGGTGATAAAGATGAGATCTTAGAAATCTAGGGACAGGGCCTGCAAAAAATGTGATGCCAGTGTGTATATCCCTTGAAACTTAAACAGGCAGACTTGCTAAAAAAACCAAACCTGCCTGTACAATTCATGCTAGAGAAGA